GAAGGGTGTCAAGGCGTACAAGAAGCCTTTGCGATGGCCGACCACTGGGGTTGAGTCACGGTTAGAGAAGTTTGCGGACGAGCACCTGAAATGTCTTCAGGGTGCCGATCTGGTGATCTGAGAGACGGGTCTATTGGAGGTAAGACTTCTAAAGCGGTTCTATATTCTTCGCTAACGACGACAATCAAGGCTTTGGTTACGGACGAGAAAGGAGCGCTATTCAAGAGATGGAATGAGATGATGGGAAGATTGATGGAGGTCCGGTAAGATAAGTGGGTTTACGCTGACGATCACTAGCACGTAACAAAGCCGGGGCGTCCTTTTCGACAGGGCGGGGCGAGTGGTGGGACCCCGCATTTATCGCGAACGCTTTTACGACTTGGAAACCGATGCAGTGGGACGCGAGCGTCTTGGAGGAGGTGTGACAGGCTCGCACAGGTGTGATAACGGTTTTGTTGGCTTTGATGTTGGAGGATTGCGTTTGGGCGATTTTCACATTTTGTATACCGTATTTGTTTGCTTATCACTCATTCGTCTTTTCGCCGTAGCGCAATGTACTATACATGTTCTTCTTCATTTACGTACGAACCTGTTCTGAAGTCCGGGGCTTCCAGGATCCAGGTCTTGGGGATTTCGGAGTTGGCATGCCGCATCTGGTCTGTTACCGGTATCATCATCACCGTCATCGGTCCGTCCGTTTTCCCGTTACTATGAACTCGACTATGGACAGCTCGGCTCCCAGGGAACTGTAGTCGCTCCTCTAAGCGCCAGTTGAATTGGTTATTCTACACCCCAAGCCCACGTGTTGACGGCAATGCCATCGAATTCATGCAGAATGCAACGCCGAGTTCCAGGTCTTCGTGCAACGTTCCTGCGTCCTGTAAGCCCACGTCGCACGTGTGTTGCTCATTGGTGAATTGTTATCAGGTACAGCAAGGCGCCAAACCTCAAGAGGCAGTTGCCGAGAATTGAGCACGGCCACTGCCAAGGTCGCCAAGGCTGAGATGCCGTGACTGCAGCTACTGAGGCGGCGGCGTCCGCTTTGTTTGCGTGGTACAAATAGTGACAGGCTGCCGAAGAGGAGGCTTACTGTCGTGCTCGCGCCTCTTCTCACAAACTCCACCAAGCCCAATCGAAGTGAGGATGAAGTTCGCCACTCGATCTAGCGCGTCACTCATCGCCGTCTCGGCGCTGGCGGCGATCGCTCAAGCAGAAGACGCGCTATACAGCAAGCGTATGGTGAAGCGAGGCATCGATGCGGATGGAAACTACAACATCTGTAAGTCAGCATGCGGTGACTCCAACATTGCTTCAGCTCACGTGATTCAGCATTCTTCCACATCAACGACGTGCATGCTCATCTCGATGAGTTCAGCTCATCAGGAACCGATTGTACCAGGCCCGAGCGCGGCTGCTATGGTGGTTACGCGCGTGTGAAGACCGTCATCGAGGAGCAACGCCCCAACTACGAAGACAGTCTCTTCTTGAACGCCGGTGATGAGTTCCAGGGCACTCTGTTCTACGGCTACTACGGTGGCGAGAAGATTGCGGAGACCCTAAACCAGCTCGGGTTCGATGCCATGACCCTCGGCAACCACGAGTTTGATGGTGGTGACGCGGCGCTCGGAGAGTTCTTGGTCAACCTCACGTTCCCCATTGTCAGCGCGAACGTGCATTCCGAGGACGAGAACGTCAACAAGACTGTCAAGCCATACACCATCTTCGAGGAGCACGGCTTGGCGCTGATCGGTGTCACTGCAGAGGAAACTGGTAGTCTCAGCAACGCCGATGTTACCACCGTCTTCTCTAACACCGTTGAGGCCGTCCAAGGTGCCATCGATGAGATCAAGGCCACTACCAACATCACCAGGATTGCTGCTCTCACTCACATTGGCTACGACAAAGACCAGGAGCTGGCCAAGGCTACTACTGGTCTCCAGCTCATCATGGGCGGCCACAGCCACACCCTCCTCGGTGACATGGAAGACGCCGAGGGCAAATACCCAACCATTGTTGAGAACCAAGATGGCGATGAGGTCTTCATTGTTACTGCCTACCGCTGGGGCGAGTACCTCGGCTACATCGATGTCACATACGATCCTCAGGGCAAGATTCTCGCTTATCATGGCGCCCCGATTCACCTCACCAACACTACTGAACAGGATGAGGACCTTCAAGAGCAGATTGAGGAGTGGCGCATTCCCTTCGAGGAGTTCGCTGCTGAGGTGCTTGGTACCAGCGAAGTAGAGCTCGACCAGACGACATGCCAACAACAAGAGTGTCTGCTCGGTGACTTCATGGCTGATGCTATGCTCGCCTACCGCAAGAACAACACCGATGACGTCGACTTTGCTCTCATCAACGCTGGTGGTATCCGTGCCACCATTGATCAGGGTGACATCACCCGCGGCGAAGTCTTGACCTCGTTCCCCTTTGGTAATGCTATCGTTCAGGTCGAAATCGATGGCAAGACCCTCTGGGAGTCTTTAGAGGGTATCGTGACTGGTGTCAACGTCGGCAATGGCAGGGAAGTCACCTCCTTCTTCCAGGTCAGCACCGGCATCAAGGTCGAATACAACCCCGAGAATGCCAACAACTCCAAGCTGGTCTCTGTCACTATCGGCGACGAGCCTCTCAACAACGACACTACCTACCAGATGGTCACTCTTGACTTCATCGCTGGTGGCGGTGACAACTTCTTCGAGCCATCAACCGACTTCATCACCCTGGACACTCAGGATGAGGTACTCACTTCGTACATCTTGAGCCAGACACCAGTAAACATCGAGCTCGATGGACGTATCGAGGAGGTCGACGGCCAGAGGGAGGACACTCCCGGAGCTGGTAACGGTACCAGCAACGGCACTTCACCCACGACTGGTGCACCGCCTCAGCAGACTGAGAACGCAGCTGCACGTCTTGGTCAAGGCGCCGTTGGTGTCAGCGTCTTCGGTGTTCTTGCCGGTCTGTTTATGCTATGAGCTTGAAGCGATCCAGAGGCACGGCGCTCACGATGTGACGTGAATGATATAATAAAACCATTAATGAAATATCTACCCTCATCAAATGCGTCGCGTTTTCACTCTTGTCAAATCGTTCTCATCCTTCGTCAAGTATTCGCTATCAGTGTCCTAATACGGCGGGCGACATGCGTGCGCGTAGTATAAATCACTGATGCGAGAGCATCGGAAAGCATAGTCTCGCTCCGGTGAGATCGAATTGGAAGTGAATCACAGAGCCCATAGGTCATGTGCAAGGCACCTTCTGGCTACAATAGCTTTTGGTTGCTTTACTTAATCACGTTCGTCAACAGAGAAGCCGATTCAACTCAACTCCGAACGTCGCACTATATCTACCAAGGTATGCCTAAACGCGACAAGAAAAGCGAACCCAGAGTTGTCGTGGGGCGTCTGAGAGGAGTGAATGACATAAGAATCGGCACGCCGGCACACCCGCCTTCCTTCTTGCCACCCAATACCACTCCAGTCGCGAAACGCGAACCTAGCATCACTGACTACACATTCGAGCAATATCAAGCTGCCAATCTCAGCGATGACCAAAAACACACCGTTATCGGCAAACTCCGCGATGAGCTGCCCATCATTGATCGCGATGAGGTCGACGATGTACTTCTGCGGTCTATGGGACAGCAGCTTGGACTAGCGGTCTTCCCGACATGCAAGATGATGCATGTTGATCCGGTAGCTGTGAAGCGCATGCTAGATGACCAGTTCCGCAAGGCGTACGGAGCGGAGGTTGAGGCGGAGGTGTTGGGGAAGTTGGGACTGTGCCGTGTTGAAGATGTTGAGATGGCGGTGGCTGCGGAGAGGATGCGTATCCGCACTAAGAAGAAGGGTAAGAGGCAGAAATTGGGGGAGAGTGAGGAGATGTTGGCGGATGTTGAGGAAGACTCCGCCGTTCATGCACCATCTCCGCCAAACAAAGAGGTGAAAACGGCGCCAAAAAGCATTGAGGATGAGATCAAGGCACATATTGCACGAAGAAAAAGAGCGAAGCGTGGGGTCAGGATGGTGACCCTGCGCTCGGGAGCTGTGTCGCAGAAATGGGAAGAGTTAAGTCGTAGTTCGTGAACTGGTGTGCATGATTAGCAGCACATGCCGCTACTGCCATGGAAGGCTGCTTGGAAACATATTGCAACGCTAGACGCCGGCAAGCGTACTAATCGCCCAATGTCGTAGTCCGTGATGCTACCTAGGCAAAGAGCCGTAGTGAGTGTTGAGTGGCGGACTTGAGAGGTAGCAGTCGGGCCTCATAATGGACGAAATACGTGTGACTGGATTCAATAGTTTAAAGATGAGTCTCTGTTTGACCATGTAGCTTCGCGAACGCGAGTCCTTCGAAAAGCCGAGCTAGACGCGTGACGTCATGACATGCTTAGTCACCCTTGACCGCGGCCAGAGACGCGTTCTCGGCGCATCTAGCTCACGTCTTCTCAAGACACATCACTGCATCAGCCCCCCAACTTGCTAGCCGCCGTACTTACGAACAAGTTATCCCAAACCTTCACCATGTCGACGAAAGATCGCATCGTGAGCAACGGATGTCGTGCTTCCGGCAGCACACATGTTCACGTCCCGCTCGTGTAGCCGACCGTGTCGGACTACGATCAAAAGTCTGTATGCCAGCATCTGTCGAGTGTAATGATGACCTCACGCTTGTTACTTCAATCACCTGCTGCGTCAATGTCTCATTGCGATGCATCTCCGACTTCCAGCTTGCCATGGCCTTCTGCATAGCTTGCTAGACATGTCACGTCTCATACTGTATGCCGATCGTCATACGATTCTCGCCTGGCAATAAGCTCGTGAGCAATAGCGCAAATCCAGCCTATACGGTCTGTGATATAGCGCGTGGTCACGAAGACGGGGCAAGCAAACCTGAAGTTTCTCTCGCAACTACCATAAGTACCGCCAGAATCGCCCTCTAATTCGCACCACAACAGTTCATTTGCATTCATCCCTGATAATCTCAGAAACGATATGACAGAGTCTTTAGATAACGAACCGGCCTCCAACATCGACCCTGTTCCCTGGATCGTCCAGCCCCCAAGCAAGACCGCAATTTGTCACGTCGACTACCCTTTGGGAGATACAGCGGAGCTCTATATCATCCCGATCACTATCAGCAGACAGAACACGACAAGCAAACAGATATCTCCTATCATAAGCCAGAAATTGCGGCGCAAGGCCATTACTGAGTACCTCGCCAAGTATGACCTCCACAATCGCTGCGCACTTCAACTTTGGGCCCGAAACAGCGTCGACACACAAGGAAACGCCGATGGGGTAGTCTGGCCTATCGACGAGCTCGTTTTCTTCGAATCCGATCAACGTAGCGTGGAGCGTCTTCAAGACGAGCCGAAGCACGCCCTGAAAAATACGTTCGCGACAGTCAAGGTATCCGCTGGTACAGCGGTACAAGACGCTATCTATTGCGAACTGGACTTTTCTAATGCAGAGACACTATCATCAAAAGGCACCGACTGCACAGGATACTGGAAAAAGGTAGAGCTTCTTGTGCGCAAGTTTGGCCCCACCATTTCCTCCAAGGACGACAGCCGTGCAACGGGATTCAAGATGGGTACTTTACTCCAAGAGGCCATCAAACGAATGCGCGAGAAAGAAGCTACCCCCGCCTGATTCCCGAACTTTCAGACTACCATCAAAGGAGCTGAGCAACTCAAGATTCTGTTTCGCATAACGTTGAAGCTCGATCCTGACCACCGAAAGCTTCGCGCCGAGGTCGATCTTGTTCCTGGCATCAAGGGTGCCATGGATCTACATGATCTCATCGCGAGAACCTTTGTCCCGGCTCACTAGATGTGGGCAACACTCAGCTCTTCCAGAACGTCCGGACGATGCTGATAGGTCTTGCCGTCGTCCGCAAATACGAACCGGGGTCTCAACCAGGCTCCAGCTCATTGGGTCAAGCGACTGGTATGTCACACGACAGCGGATCCATGGAGTACAGTCCCTCAAGCAAAGGCAAGCGTGCTGCTTTGTCGCCCATGTCTACTTCTCAAACAAACTCACGTGCAACAACAAGAGTCGGCTTGGGAGGCAGTAGCAATGCAGAAAGCCCCACTCCGAGCTTCCCAGAGTCCGTCATTGTCGATTTGCAGCCGGCGTCTCGAGTTCCGGCCTTCTGGAAGGATGGCGAGAGATGGACGGTTACTCAGTATCTCTTCAAGAGTAAGTAACGCGACTTTGATCAAGACACGGTTCCGACTGACACATCATTGTAGCATACCCCCAACTGAAGGAAACTAAGCTCCCCGGATCGCCGCTCGCCAATATCGGGAAAGACACCTGGGTACCACTCGAATTCCTCAAGACGGCCGGGGAGGCAGCTTCAGTACAGCAGGTTCCAGCTGTAGGCCACCTGATAGCTTCGCTAAAAGGACATCGAGCGAAATATGACCTAGCTGAAAATGAGGGGCGCTTGGTCGAATTCCTCAACAGTCAAATGGAGGACATGCGCAAGCGCCACGAGGTAAGTCAACATCAAAACGTTGCCTATGTGAAAAAAGACGAAGTGCTAACGCATTCGCAGGGTATGAAGCTGCTTGTAGACGGAAACATTGGAGATATGGCGACGCTCAAGCTCCCCTCGAACGACACGAAACGCGTCGACCGCAACTCTGTGAAAGGACCTAAGACTGGCGCCACGATCAAATGCGGTATCATCTATGTTCGACCTAACGGAATGCGCTCCACAGGCTTCGAAAGCTTCGCGAAGTCGCTTGTCACCCGACTGGATGCTCATGCGGCACTCAACCAGGAGCAGCAGATTCTCGCGATAGATTCGTCGCACACGAGTCCTATCGCTTCAATACCCGACATCAAGTCGCTTCTTTTGCTGCCTGAAGACACTACCGAGGAAATCAAAGCGTTTTACGACAGCAAAGTTGACACGATCATCGCCGTGGTAGACGAGCGGGGTCGGAGCAAGCAGGAGATCCACTACGTCCGGGCAGAGCTGCAAAAGTTCGGCAACAGGAAGCTTGGCGCAGTCGTGCTTTGTGTTAGTAGAAAGCACCTGGAGCTTCGGAACGACAAGACATCTGGAATCCTTAGTCGTCTTCCTCTCGGCATTCTTCAGCAGCTGAATGCTTTGCATGGCAACCCTAATTTCGTCGCCCCAAATCTGCCCAGTTTGGACCTGCCCGACAAGAAATTCATGATCGTAGGAGCTCATCTATCACACGCTGGATCCGATGCGGCCGCTACTTGCCCCTCGGTCGCCGCTCTTGTTGGTAGTGTTGACGAAGCACTGATGCACTACACGGGTAGTGCGCGACTACAGGCTACGTTGGAGGCTACCGACTGGAACAACGACCGGGAGACCTCTAAATTGAAGTACGAAGTCCAATCACAGATTGTCGATCTTGAGAGCATGATGCTCGAACGTATCGAGGCTTGGATCGCGAAGCAGGGACGCACGCACGCGCCACACATCGTCTTTTACCGCCATAGCAATCAGTCCAACAACGAAAACACCGCGATGGAGGAAACCGCTCCGATCGGTCGTACCTGCAGGGCTTTCACCTGGGAAGATGGTAACGCTGCCACGTTCGACTATGTACTGGTCAACAAGAATGCGCACGTTTTCTCGCCCTACCGCACCGCCTCCAGCGAAGAATCATCCAAGAAGGCTGCGTATGAGTTCAACATCGCCGACAGTGCCGGAGAAGTTGGACACAAGTACCAGTATTATGTCCGGGCTCCACCCAGCAACGTTCTCACTGGCGATCGATGCAAGACCCTCACGAGCCGTCTCAACTCGAACTTTCAGCAGAAGGATGCCAAGATTGCTATCGCACTTCCGGTCCATTACGCCCAGAAGCTCGCTAAGCGAATGTACGACTACTTCCTTTTCGCTACCACGAACCAGTACGACCAGCTTTCGAGCGTGCAGCGACGATTGAGATTCTCCGACGAAGAGACATCACAAAACGATCAAAAGATGGCGGATATGATGAACGAGTATCTGCTTGATTACGGCGTAGTGGAAGCGCGCGTAGAAACGCAGCCAGATCGAAAGAACCCTTGGATGACACAGCTTGACGACAAGATGTTCTACCTCTAGTTGTCTGGCTGGTCTTCGCAGCTAGTAACCAGGATAGCTTCCCTTGACCTCGTTTCTGGCTCTCCTTCTTTCTGCCACCAGATCTGTCGACTCTTCGTCAGCTTTAAACCCTCCCTTATTTCCTATGTTCGCGCATCCACCGCCTCACTCGCTCTCACTGCCCCTGCCCCGTCCTGCCCACATCTCCTTTCATTTCCTTTGTTCCTTGTCCTTTGCGATCTCTTACCGCCCCACCCCCCTTTCCCAGCCCACACCATGCCCGTTTTCCTTTGACCGTCTCGATCCCTGTCTTGCGTTCTGATTTCCGCGCTGCTTCGACTTGTCATCTCGCACGAGATATCTAGTTAGCCACTCATTTAGAAAGAATACCAGTCACTCCTTTGAAAGCACGCTTGTCTTGACGTGATGTGAGTTCTTGAGAGCCCCGCAAAAGCCGACGTTGGCACTTGCACCTCATACAAGGGAAAACGTGAACAGGTCTGCGGATTACATCAAGATGAGTACATGCAAAGTGGGTGTGTTTAAGATCGATGTAGACCCCAGGGTATTCGTTTTTTCCACTAGGTTGACGTGCTTGTAAGAGTTGTCGTGCGCTAGAATATGGCGTTATCTTGCGCATGATATTGTCATAAACCAATCCACCATCTAAGGCCGAGTCGAACGTCAAGGAAGTGGAGATGGTGCGTGCGCAGCTCTTTAGTCTTTGCGAAGATGGCAATGATTAATGTCAATTCACAATTAGGTTGACTTGATGACCCATAACAACAACGACAGAAGTTTATGCAAGTACAATTTCCTTCCACTTCATCGGTCTGCGACACGACTTGAACACGCCTTCTCGTTGGAGATAGCCAGATCCAATCCTCTCGGCAATACCCCCGTTCCATTCTATCATGAGGATTCTGTACCTTTGAGAAGGAATGTAAGAAGCACTCTCCCGCCGTTCATAGCTCAAATCCCCCTCTTCGGAGATAATGATGAACTCGCGACATGATAGACCCGCCTCCGCTTCCTCTGAGTTAACCCCAGCATCGTATTCGCACTTTCCGACAATATTGCCCTCCGAATCTATCATGTTGCCGTCCCCGCCCCCCATGACAGGCTGTTCACGCGGTGGATGATCCCGAACCTCGTAATAAACCGATACTGTCCAGAAACGTAGTACCAATGGAAACCCCGCAGTGCCGTCTGAGCGCTCGTAGCATAGCTTAGTTGGTAGGGAGTTGCGTGGGAGTCCTGGAAATCTCGCCTCGTGGGCTTCTCTAGCCAGATCGACATCCTTGCCATACTCATCGCCGCCATGTAGCCATCGGGGTTGGGCGTCAGCACTCGCGTTGTCGCAGACATAATATACTATCCACGTCGCATGCTTGACGCAAAGTTGAATAAGTTCCATCTCCGATGCCTTATGCACCCATTCTCGATGCCCGTCATTCGGATATCGCTTTGCGTCGCCATACATATGTAGATAGTCAATCTCTTCGCTGCAATATAACTGAAGACCACTCCAGCCTGCCCAGGTCCAACTTGAGAAGCACTTGCGTCGCTCCAAGGTGCCGCCCTTCCAGAATAAGGCGTGATTGAAGTAAGCAAGCGGTAGGCCCTCATAACAGCTTCCAACACCAATTCGTTTCACCACGCCAGCGAAGGCATTCAGTATGTCCTCTTCTTTGGTGATCTTGAGTTTTGAGTACCTTGCCAGTGCCCACCGGTAATTTGTATGGGGAAGATGCCCATGTAGACGTCGCTTGAGAGAGAATGTAAACTCACTCTTGTTGTTAGAGACCATAAGTCTATCTGATGAATTGGTAACGCAATCATCGGGGCCATCTTCAGTGTAACTAGCTTCATCGCATAAGAAGTATACCTGATCGTTTGGGGCAAAGACAAGCAACCTAGATGCCAGCTGGAATTCTTGGAAACTAATATGCGTGAGTGAGTGTTCTTCGGGCATTGCCGTGATGCTTTACATACGTCCATGCCCTCTCGCAATACTTAGTCTCTCTAAATAAGTGCTCGATATCAAAATGTGCCAGGAGGGTCACTTCCGACGATATCGCGCGAGTGATTTGCTTACAGTAGCGTTCTATACTCACACCGCGAAGCGGATCGTCTGCGCTACTGCAAGTCCCCGCAACGATAGTAAGAAGCGACCCTGCGTATATGTTGTCCATGTTGGAAATGGCAGCCTGCCTCGCAGCGGCGTCGTCGGAAACTATACACAGAGCATCCACCCACAGGTATCTCTCGCCGATCTTCTCTACTAAGATCATAGCATCGCGTATAGTCTTGGGAATGGTGGGAGAGGATAGACTAGACTCGCGGGAGAGGTCCAGGAAGTTGTCCTTTTTTAGCTGCACCTGAGTGGCATTTCCCCACACATAACTCAGGGCTATATATCGGCAGTTCTTCGAGGCAGGGACGATGCGTTGGCCTACGACGTCGATGACAAGAACGTTCTCGACGGATATGTCGCTTTCCAATTTTGATCTCTCTCGGCAATGCGAGTGTTCGCTCTCGCAACGGGTGATCCAATGTTGGATGTGCTCAAAGTCCAGAAACGATGGACCCTGCGGAAGGATGCGACTGAAGTAAGGGTACCTTAGAAGATCTTTAGTGGCTGGTCGGATCCCCGCTCCCCATTCATAGATTCTGTCCAGACCATGGATTTCCAGTGCGATGCAAGGTTGAAATTTGGATTTCGTATTCCCCGCTATAGGCGTACGAGAATTGACCAGGCAGGTTCGTGCACCCCGATCGTCGACAACAGAGGGTATCTTGTAGGCAATAGTCGCTTCGATCAACTCTGCGATGAGCTGACATAGGTCGCATTCTGATGGCCTTATGTATACATTGCATTTGTGCGACCACGGCGGCTCCTCGAGATCTGCTGGAGGAAGAAATTTTGCGGGGTTTATATTGAGCTTAACGCACTCGTCGCAAAACCTCATGATGATATATAGAGTAAAAGGATGTAGAAGGTACGATGGTGATGCCTCTGAACGGCAATGAGGGGCAATTTCGACCCCACCAAATTCCGGGCATGAGGCACAGCAATACGCCTACAGCAGCTCTAACTCTATCCATACATGATGGACAGGGCATGCGTAGCCGCCCAAGGCGGCTCTGAAAGCTAAGCCCTCGAAACGACAATAACGTCTGAAAGTGGTTCAGCTGCTGAAGGGGAAGGCATCGCGAACGCTGACGAAGGTATCCTGGGTCTACGACGACATGAAGAGAACCGGTAGTGAGATATTGCCGGCCAACACGAAACAACTAGAGGTAAGGATCGATGGAGGGTGCATTGTTGAATGGTGTGAAGATTTATCGCGCATGAGGAAAGCGCGAAGGCCACAGTGAGGCTGCGGCGGATGCTGCTAAGCCTAGCGCTATGACATCACCGACCCCTTTCACTCGTGCCACGAATCCCTCGAGAAAGCACGCGCAAGGAATTTTTTATGCACGCGCGAGTTGAGTATATCATGATAGGTAAATGGGAGACATGAGGAGCATATATATTTGCAGTCAAACACTGCGGATCAAATTGCTGCGCTACAGTATTTAACTCCACGTGACTTCTAAAGACCATGCCCACCATCGACAAATCAACAACAAAAGTCTAGCCAAAGCGTTATCAATCTGAAAGCAACCGAACTCCAAATAGTACGTTCTCATCTTCATCGAACCCCGACAATACGCTCCCATTTCGCTCAGCTCAATGTCCCCTGGCGACTCCTCTCCACGCCTGCCGGCGCCGTGCCAATTTGGCTCACCAGCTCCGCTTCATCGGCCCGATTCAATTTAGAATCAAGCGCATCATCCAGACCAGTATTCCTCTTGCGCATCGGACTCGTCGCATCTGCCGCACTATCATCAACATCGAGTTCCTTTTCCTTGCGTCTGATCGTGCCCATGCTTGCTACACTTGCATCGTCGCCATCGGACTTCTTCTTGGTCTCGCCCTCACTGTTTTGCACTTCGATGGTGACGTCGGTGTTGTCTTTGCTGAAGACGCGGAGACCGACGACGCACACAGCGTTCCAGGGGTCGCGCTCGAACTCGTCTTCTTCTTCGAGGTAGGGGTAGCGCGTGCTGTTGTAGACATAGCGCTGGCGCTCGGAGAAGATGCGCGGAATGTTGTCTTCATCGTCGGAGAGATCCGAGTCGAGCGAGCAGGGGCCATCGAGATCGGAATCCCAGGAGTCGTCGGACATATCGTCGGGCGAGTGCATTCCGTGCTGAGCGCGGTGGGAGTACTCGCTAGCAGTTCGTCCGCGAGTGACCTGAATACCAGGTCGGATACCCGGGATGGGGGTGAGTGTAGCCCGGCGAACGCCAGTTGATGGTCGGTGCTCAGGACGCGGACTGTATGTCCTTTGACCGGGCGTTCCAGGGCGAAACTCATCAGTCAGCGGCGTGGGGATAGGCGTCGGCAATGGCGTAGGAATAGGCGAATCCGTCATCTGGCCTTCGTTGTATCCGTCGCGACCTTGGTATGCACCAGGAAAGTCAGTGTTGTAGCCACCGCGACCCTGAAGCTCCCCAGGCATGTTTTGATTGTAACCTCCGCGACCCTGGAGTTCGCCTGGCATATTCTGGTTGTACCCCCCTCTGCCTTGCAACTCACCAGGCATATTTTGGTTGTACCCTCCTCTACCCTGGAGCTCTCCAGGCATATTTTGATTGTAGCCTCCGCGCCCTTGAAAGCCTTGACTATGGGTCGCAGGAGAAGGTTGGGGACTGTGGTGGTATCCACCACGTCCTTGAAGGATTGCAGCTTCAGGGATTGCAGAGCCATTGCTGTCGCGGTTGTAGCCGCCACGACCCTGCAATGCTCCGGGAAACGATGCATTGTAGCCATCACGACCTTTGTTGTATCCACTCCGGCCGCCAAAACCGCCACCTGGACTAGCCGAGCGCTCACGGAGTGGGTCAAGGCTCGATGCACGATGGTGCCTGGAGACTGCTTGGTGAACAGGCTTAGCGTCTTCGTCGCCGGAAGTGCGGTTGTCTTCCTCGACATTTATTCCAAGACCAGACAGGCTTTCGAGCTTCCTCTCGACTTCTGCCATGTCGCCAGATTGATTGAGTTTGCGCGTCTCTTTCGCAGCTTTCTTCAGGTCACGCAGCTCAGCCTTTTGGCGTAATCTCTTACGGCGTTGATGAGCTTGCTTCATCTCAGCCTTCTTGCGCTCAACTCTCTCCTCTTTGTGACGTTTGGCCTTGTCTTCTTCTTGCTCCCGGAAATGTCCTTTGGCATGCGCAAGATCGTAAGACAGCCCGATCGACAGCAGTTTCTCGCGCCGTTTGGTACAGGTCATACGAATGACTTCATCAGGTGTCGGATTGTCGGGAATTCTGGTTGCTTTGATCTTGAGCAGGACGGTGTAATTACCAGGCTCAAGATCCAGCTCGGTAGAGACAGAGCGCGTCATATAGTATGTACCGTTGCTGCGAACGATGTACTCTTCTTCGTCGTCTTTGTGGAGCCGGAACTGTAGGTTGAACTCATACTGGCCTTCCAGACCTTGGTAGTAGCGATCATCAAGCTGGCTAAGTACGATGACTACGGGGCCGCCTTTCGCGAGATGTATCTTGAATTTGGTGTCGAGGTAGTCGACGCTCCACGGAACGTTGACACTTGTCCACTGCTGAGAAACCGTCCATTCCGGACCGAACAGTCGTGTACGGTCGAAATGCTGGTAGGTACGCAGAAGATCCTTGTACGAGATCCAGAAGACACCGTCGTCCCCGAATTTGTGGTCGAGCTTCTTCATCCATTCTGGAGTCCATTCTTCTGAACCGTCGCTCCAGCGACCAGTCCACTCGGTGCGGCCCCAGGGGTTCCGAAGCTTCAGCAGGCGCTGGCCATCGATCTCGCGTGCTTCCATGACGGAGTATGCATGTTTCTCCTGGATACCTTTGCGAGCGCCGTAGATACCGCCCATCTGGCCACATCCGAAGAGAAACGTCTTATTGACGTTCATGAGCTCTTCGTGCCAGAACTTGTCCTTATCCAAGATGTCGGTTGCAAAGATTTCAGACGTGACACCTCCAGTCAGGTCCTCGATACCTTCGCCTACAAAGCCGCCATTAATGGCACTGTAGTCGCCGTGTGCTTTGGCAAAAGCCTTTTCCAGCAGTGGCAGCCATGTTTCATTAGGATCGCTGCATTGTGCGAAGTACAGAGCCCTCGAACCGGTTTGCATGACAGTCCGGTATTCATCTTCGGGGCTTTTCCGGTTCTGAAGTTCCAACCAGTGGGAGCGCTCAAGTTTTGCTTCGTCAAAGTCCTCCTTGATGAGATATAGCTTGTCGTCGATGACCTCGGATATCCATTCGCCATCTGAGATAAGTCAGCTTGTGAGCTACCCGACTATATAGTCATGTCTTTACCTCTGTGGAAGACAAATCCGTACACGCCGACCTGCTCATCGCGCGCAACGCACACCCGCTGTATCAATTCTTCCTTGTTCGAGATCGTCGCCAGTGCCGACATGAACCAGCAGTCACCGTCATTGCCCTGTCGTACATCGTTCGCGGTGGCGCCTTCGATGAAAAATCGTGGTTCATCGAAGATGTCCTGTGACGAGTTAGGCATGCGACGATAGTGGTGGTGATAATACATACCTCGACTCTCTTAACCGACAAAGGATGGAAGTCAGCGTTCTCTTCATTGAGCCCAGTCAAGCAGTCAGCGGGAGTGTCTGGAATAAGCTGCGACCGTTTGAAGTCGGCCTCTATATCGAAATGTGGATCTCTGTATTTCTGGTTCAGTCGTCGGCACTCTTTGACGATCTTTGCGACCTTTCTGGTGCAGGCTTCCTTGGCCTCCTCGTAGGATGCAAGCGCATTGACCCCGGGTATGGACCCTCTCGGCGCATGTGCGGCTGCACGTTTCGCATACAAATTGTCGGGTAAGATCGTAAAGATCTTACCGGGGTGTTTGGTCGTGAATTTGTTCCAGAACTCGTCGATGTTCCTCTGAGGAGCTTGTTTTCTGACCGGCAAGCGTGGCCGTGGCGCAGGAGCAGGCGTATCTTGAACCATGCTGGGCGCCCTAGAGTGTGGAGTGGTGATGTTGATGAAGTCGTTGTGAGTACCATTCGATGCCATTGTCAATTCTGTGCCGCGGCCCAAATGCTCAGGGGCTGGCTATGCTTCTTGGGGCGTACGGCGTCCATTGGGGGCTCAGTCGTTAATAAACGATTTGGGATGACGATGAAATTCTCAGCCCCCAACGAAGCTTCATACAGCTGCCATGTATGGTGTGGTATTTCGAGAGCCTGTAAGAAAAGAAGTGGGTCAGTCAGACACGAGGCGTTGCTCGGCGCTGCCGCAGGGCCCCCGCTCGCCATGCCGCTGCGAATCAGCTTGCCGCGGAGCTTCCGAACCCATGCTCGCGGCCGTCATCAAGCGGAGGGGCAGATACAACGGCGATCGGCTGCAGCTGCACTGGCCTGCGTCTTCAGCTGCAGACAAGGACTGACGACGAGTAAGAGTGTTGGGTTGGGACGCGACGCAGTAGGGAGGCTCTCGTTCTCTGGAAACGGCTCAGACGGCCAATGCGCGCAACTAGATTAGCCTGGGGGCGGCCGGCTAGCCTATTCTAGCTGACTACGGGTGGAAGCCTGACCGACTTCTTGTCTTGTCATATTACCAGTAAACGGTCATCTGGTGATGGTTTGGAGGTGAGCAACATGTTCGCCGAATCTGCCTGCATATGGTGGTGGTGCTATGACGCCTCTCACATCTCGGTACCATTACCGTGCGGCATTCGCGATGGTCTGATCAAGCGTTTCTTTGCAGACTGACAGGAGTAGCAACCAGACATGTGGAACGTTCCATCTGCGTGTTCAGCTCATGGGATGATAATTTTGGAGCTGTATACCTACACCTATGGGTCATTCTGCATCCCGGTCCAGTTTACAGGAAGGGCAATGGACACGGGCGCAACACCAGCGACGTTCGAGAACAGATTGATGCCGTACTAGGATCCACGCGAGGATGGGCTCGGGCTAGAATGATTTCAGTGGGTGTTTGTGTATCTCTGCGCGCCCGAGGTGTGTGCCGACTCTCCATTGATAGGCAACTTTCCCCCGCGAGCATGGGACATGCATCAGGTAGCTCGGTTCCGAGCCGCCGGGCATGTCTCATTGCGTCCATGGTGCTGGAAACGACGCTGACTAACGCTCGCGCAGTGCCTGCATAGGTGCTGTAACGTTCAGCAAGGCTCACAATGAGTCGACAGGAGTAGCGGTAATGGCTGCGCGTTCGTCGAGCCGATGTCTCGATAGGGAAAAACGGCAGACGTAGCTCCCGGATGAAACAGTATCACCAACAATTGTCAGGTTTCCATGTCAGCCCTAGCACACAGCCCTACGAGCGATGCTGCGAGCGTCCTGCGATTTTGCAGGGATGCGACCTCACCGTAATTTCGACGCGCACAGCCAATCGCGACGCGAAGGCACACCTGGTGTATGGACAACGATAAATTCCCTTGCGCCGGACACAAGGTCGACCGTCCAATCGCGAGTACGTTACTTGAGAGAACCAACCTCTTTCAATAAATCTATCGTGACGTCCGGGGATGCACAACTACGTATGCTGACACTTTTTCCAGTAAACCATAAGGAGATACAAACTGCTGGCCAACTCGGGCCTTGACGCGACACTTGACGCTGTGACAATGCGAGGTCAGCTCGGGGTATGCAACACAGCTGGCGGATTGAGCGGTAAATACATCCCCTGAGTGTTGAGAACGTGTCGACCCCCGAAGGTTTAGCGAAGAACCCGATACCGATTTGGAATGTGAAGTAGCGTCAGGCTGAGTGCAAGGCTGAAGTGGTGAGACGTGGTGTGAGGCTTGGAACGTGTGCCGAACTTGGGATTCCGGCGCTTGCCGAAAGCACGGACGAAGGTTTTAGCTCGATGCCGTCATCATTCCTTTGCTTGAGGCGCGTCCTGCCACCACAACCCTTTTCCTCTATCAACATCACGGGAAGACAACATGAACAGCATCACCCAGTCTCATGTCGGGCGGCTCAGTTACGAGCCTACACCTCGCAGTACTCGACCTCTATCTCCGCTACTTCTCATTCGTCGCCCTCTAAGCGGAGCCGATCTCCCTTCAGATTCCCGGCAAGAGGTCGTTCAAATTCCCCGTCAGCCGTTCGCGAGCATTTATGGCCACATCAATGATTTTGCTTCGCGAGCCGTTCGGCAGAGTAGCAACATTCTGATTTCGGGTTTCGACGCATCATGCGACGTCCACCCAACCGTCTAGACCCGAAAAACAAGGCCTGATCGCTGCTTGAGTACAGATCAGAGATACCCACCTCGCTTCTCAGTCGCCCAACTATCAATATGACGCCGTATGTAGTCATCATCGTTGAAAACGCTGATGCTATCCAGATTTATGTCGCCTACCTTGAACTTGTTCCTCTTGCGGCTGTGTTGAGGTGGTCTCGTGCCTGGGCTATTACATAATTGGCTTCCCGCTGAGTCTGAGCTTCCCGTCGATAATGCAGATGCTATGGAAGTAGTCTCTGACCCGAATCCGCCGTCAGAATCCAGCTTCAGTACTGGCCATGGCTCGTATCTCCGGAAGTTTTCCAGCCATCGAGAGATCTTTCTGCGGTCGACATTGGCTATCAACTTCTCGGCGTCTTTCGCGACCAATGTATCCAGGTACTTCTCATCGCCACCCAAGTCGTATGCATTTTCCGCATATGGATCTATTCCAGCTGCTTTCGCCGCCGCTCTTCTGCCTTCCAGCGCTTCTTCTGCATCTTGTATCATTTTCACATATTTACGGTTAAGCTGCACAAATTGCGGGCCATACTCATCCTTCAGTTCCTCCGAATCGCGATCAGGGTTATCCTGGATGTAAAACTCCAATAAGAGTCCGTGGGTTCCTCGAGCATAGTCATGTTGCTGCCTCGCAGACTGGAGTTTTGCTTCGAAACCTGCAAGGTATTGCACCCATTCGTCTTTAATATCAGCTAATTCTTCATCGTACGTTCGTTGAGCCTGCGCCGGCGCTTCGTTATCGACCATGCGCGTCGTGGCTTCCGAGATAGAGCTATCAGTATTGGTATCCTCGCCTTCATAGAAGTCACCGTCCCCATAGTGTCGAGACCGAATCCTATGATGGTACTCGTACGCTTTCAACGGCCAGCCTTTATCCTTGTCTTGTGATAACGCCCCAGCGTGCTCCAGGAACATGGCTTGGGAAAAGTCTATATCAGTCAGGGTAGCGAACCATCTCTGCTCTGCATTTTGCAGCTTGCCCTTTAGGCGTCGTTCACACGTCTTAAATCTCCGATATGCTAGCTGCGCGCGTCTGACCCTTCCTTTTGCCTCTTTTAGACTGCGTCGTTCTGCAAGCATTCGCGATGGTGATCTGAAACGCGAGTTCCATTTCGCTACCTTGAGGTCGTTAATGGCAGCGGTATACTCGTTCCACGCTGGTTGGGCGTCCTCATTGATCTTATCCAGGTCTGCGTCGATTTCTCTTTTCGTCTTTCGATACCGGCGGCCCTCGATGACAGAATTGCGCATGGCTGTGTACACCTTTTTTGAGAGGACGAGGGCCAATACATTTTGCTCGCCGTCAAAAGTCCGCGCCAGGATCGCATCGCCGTCCGTGAAGATATTATCGTCCGAGCCCGTTTGGCAGATGTGCCATCCGTCGAATCCTGGACCACGGTCTACGCATTGCTCGCAGGAGGATGAGCCACAGTGGATGCCGTGCTCATCGCCGGGAAAACAACGTAGACAACCGGGCCGCTGGCACTGACAAGCAGAACGAGGAGTTTTGGTCGTCGTGGCTTGGGCTTCTTCACCGAGTACGGAAGGGGACGCATTATCAAGTGTGGCGGCGGCATGTATTGCTTCCTTGGCTGATGTTTCGAAACGCTTCGTTTGCTTTGCATGAGAGCTAAGCTCAGACTCCTCGGGGATGTACGAGTTAGTTGGTTGGCAGCTTGAGATGATGGTATCGAGCCTTCGCTCAGCATCCTTGCGAACTACGGTGGAGCTTAGTCTGATCTGAGATCTGTCTTCATCTTTTCGTGTTCCCTTGCTAACATGACTCCGACGTTGTTGCTTAGATCTAGATGCCTTGAGGAAGTAAGAGATACGTTTTCGTGTCATAGAGCGATACATTCTGAGCATGTGATCTGTGTGAATTGCAGAAAGATTGATGCTTTTCACGTGCGTGTAGTGAAAGACAAAGGAAGGCAAAAGTAGAGCAAGCTTGAGAAGCGATTCGGTCAAAGCTTTCATAGCGTTTCAAAGACAAAGCGGATTGTCCCACGTCTTCAAAGGTAATACTTATCCTTGCCCACCGCATTGTAGAAAATTAACGATTCTATCAGCTGCATCCTGCTGTCTTGATAAACTACCACAATATAATGTCATTCTCACGGTACATCTTGCCTAGCACTCGGCAGGGGATGCCAGTAAAATGGGCAATCGTCAGCTTCGATTCGAGAAACGTAGCGCATGCAAGCATGTGAGCTTTCACTAAGTCAGGGCGAGACTCGAGCCAAGGCGCGCAAGTGCCTTATCATAGGGAATGACTACCTAGGTAATGGGCGAAAAAGTACGGCTTTGGTTTGCCGTTCGCGCTCTGACACCATCAGTAAACCCATAGACGCATATATACTAGCGAGATTCATCAATTCAACCTTCCAGCAACAAAGCCTCTCGACCGACGCGCTGGACTAATAATACACACAACTTTTGGCATCTCAGCCGGCCCGCCAGACAAACGCGAAGCTGGGGCAATAAAGGAGTCTAGCGCTCTGATCCAACCAACAAGACCATGGCGGGCGCTCGGAGCGGGAGAGGTAAGAATCCCTTCATGGTTTTTGCACGGCGTCAGACCTGACAAGCTGACGATGAAGGCCGCCGGCGCAGAGAGCAGTACGGAGAGGTCGATCATTATTCCCCAGATCGATCTGATAGATCTCGATCAAATTCCCCAACACCACGTGATCGTCGAGACAGGTCGGACAGCGACGAAGACCGCCAGCACCTCCCGTACGAGGAATGGGATCGACGAACTACCCCCCATCGCCAAGATGAGCGGGATGATTCTCACAATGATC